AAGGAAGGAAGGAAGGAAGGAAGGAAGGAAGGAAGGAAGGAAGGAAAGAAGGATGGTAGTGTGGGTGAGTAGAGCGATGAAGGGAGAAAACAATGAAGGAAGGGAGGAAGGAAGGAAAGAAGGAAAGAAGGATGTTAGTGTGGGTGGGTAGAGCGATGAAGGGAGAAAACAATGAAGGAAGGGAGGAAGGAAGGAAGGAAGGAAAGAAGGATGGTAGTGTGGGTGAGTAGAGCGATGAAGGGAGAAAACAATGAAGGAAGGGAGGAAGGAAGGAAGGAAGGAAAGAAGGATGGTAGTGTGGGTGGGTAGAGCGATGAAGGAAGAAAACAATGAAGGAAGGGAGGAAGGAAGGAAGGTAGGAAAGAAGGATGGTAGTGTGGGTGGGTAGAGCGATGAAGGGAGAAAACAATGAAGGAAGGGAGGAAGGAAAGAAGGATGGTAGTGTGGGTGGGTAGAGCGATGAAGGAAGAAAACAATGAAGGAAAGGAGGAAGGAAGGAAGGTAGGAAAGAAGGATGGTAGTGTGGGTGGGTAGAGCGATGAAGGAAGAAAACAATGAAGGAAGGGAGGAAGGAAGGAAGGAAAGAAAGAAGGATGGTAGTGTGGGTGGGTAGAGCGATGAAGGAAGAAAACAATGAAGGAAGGGAGGAAGGAAGGAAGGAAGGAAGGAAGGAAAGAAGGATGGTAGCGTTGGGGGTAGAGGGATGAAGGGAGAAAACAAGGAAGGAAGGGAGGAAGGAAGGGAGGAAGGAAAGAAGAGAAGAAGGATGGTAGTGTGGGTGGGTAGAGGGATGAAGGGAGAAAACAAGGAAGGAAGGAAGGAGAAAGGAAAAAACGACAAGCGGAAGAATGGAAGGAAACGTGGGTGTAGGCATGGAGGGAGGGAGAGAGAGGAAAGCAGAAATCACGATAAAAATCCAGCAAATTCTTTTACCCCAAGTTAGAAAACGCTGTAAATAAGCCAGATGCCATTGAATCCGTGTACACATCCTTTTTCATACCTCTTTCACTACAAAGGATATTTGATGCATACAGTTTCTTAATAGTAGCACATTATAAAAAAAAACATTGGAAACTACGAAGCATCCCCCCATATATTATACAAATTAAACGTTTTTAGGAAATAGTCGAAATAGAATATCTGATCTGTTTAAATAAAAGTGTTCATTCATTCATGATCATATGAGAATGACAACCCCTTCCTCCCGACCCCCAAAAGAAATGAAAGACAACTTACTAACAACACGCGAGAAGCTCTGGCATAATAGGTACATAGTATAGAGCATTAGCAGCCCCAGCAATACCTACAGACAGCATTAATACCCAAACCTTCCTAAAGAAAGAAAGAAAGAAAGTGGAATAAATCAACCAGATTTAGAGGGGGGGGGGGGGGGGCGCAGGGGGTCTATAGAGGGTTTGTACCAGTAGATCGTTTTCTCAAGTCTGCGTTCGCATCCAAATTTAATGAACTGACGGGCCACGATACCAGAACACGAGTATTATCATGCATTGTTCTGAATTTTTTTTCGATAACACTTCTTACAATCGATTATTCTCCTCTTTCAATATAAAACTGTCTTCTTAATTTTGCTGAATTTGCGTTTTTCAATTTTGTGGCCCGTCAAGTTGTATGCGCACGCAACCTTGAGAAAACGGTCTATGTATTTAATATTTCAAAACGCTTGTGGAAACAGCGCGACGTGCAAAAGTATGGCCGGCGACACTAGTGAAAAACGTTTGCGCATGCTCTAATTCCATATGCAAATTAGTCAAAATGTCTTCACAAAATGCCAAAACTTAGTGTCCATGCTTGAAACTTAAGGCTAATTCTTTCTTTCATATTGTGTTTGTTAATGCAGTATCTTGGTCTCACAAAAGTATACATGTTTTGTATACTCGGAGAAAACTCAAACAATACAATTACGTCACGGAACACAAAACCCAGCTCAAGTGGGGGGGGGGGGGGGGGGGGGGGGGGGGGGGGGGGGGGCAAAGACACCCTAGAACCCCCTTTGTTGATATACCCCAGGAATGAATCTAATTTCTTACCTTCGAGGGATGAAAGATGGCAAAAATGGCGCAGGACCAAAGAACAATGTACAAACACTTGATACGAAGAAACCAATGACCAGGAAGAACCTCTTCCAATTCTGCAGCCAAGAATCAGAACCCGATCTCAAAATGTCCCCAGTACATATTCATACCATGAAATGGTTATTTATTACATGCTTAAAACACTTAAGGGACTGTTTAATGGCTTTTCGTCAGACAGGAGTGGGGAGGGGAGGGGGGGGGGGTGAGGGGTATAGACACGGAGACGAGGAGGTGAAGCTGTAACCACTACACGCAACCATTAAACAAAGAAATGATACTCTAGGGAATGACATGTGGTCTGTAATGGGGAAACAGTGCATTACGTCTATATAGTGGAAGACAGTGAGGTGCCCACTGCAATATGCCAACTGGTCGCGGTTTCTGGACCATCTGAGTCCAATTAACTGTTAATTTTCAACTATGTTGACATTTGATAGCGCCTCTGGCGGTAAATAGAATAAACTAGATTTAACAGTGGGTCCACAGAATAGCTCTCCTTCCACTAGATTCCAATTGAATTTAGAAGTTGGTTTTTGCGGAGGGAGGAAAACAGGAGAAAAACTCTCGAAGCACAGGAGAGAAACAACAAGCAACTCTACTCACATATGACACCAAGTCCGTGAATGGAAACTGCCCCGTGTCTTATTGGTGAGCGAGCGAGTGAGTCGAGTGGTCTCACCCCTATGGAAGTAAGAAGCATTTCCGAGGACTATTTCTGTAAGTGTAGTCATGCGATGCTTACCTGTTTCTCTAATATCCGTCCAACAATAGGTGTAGAAGCCATATATGTTACAGAATACACCAAGAAAACAAGTCCAACACCYGTAGAATTCAGACCAAACTGACATAAAATAAAATCAGTGAGATTACCATCAACCATTCAACCGTTCCCTACCATATAGTAAAACCTTTCGTTGTACATGGTGTAGTGTACGTTACTGATGTTGCTGTTATTGCTATAGCTACTGCTATTGCCGTATTAGTGCATGGTAATGGTGATGATGATATTGCTGTATTGCTAAGCTACTGCTATTGCTGTATTAGTGCATGGTAATGGTGATGATGATATTGCTGTATTGCTAAGCTACTGCTATTGCTATCGTATGGTAATGGTGATGATGATATTGCTGTATTGCTAAGCT